AGTGCCAGAACGAAGCAACAATGCGAGAGAAGATCTCTTCAGTATCTGAGGCTCGAGCGGGACTGTTGAGACATAGAATGCCACAGTTCAAGAGATAGACACATTGTGTGACGTATGCCCCGATGAGAGGGGCGTTGGAAACGTGATTTTATGAAGTGCGCGGGGTTCGGATTTCATTTGACCGGAGCGCTAGCCGGTTTTGAAGGCGAGGATAAAAGCACAGACGAAAAAGAAAGGATTGCAATGGCAAAGAGGAGGTTAAACAATCAATAAAAAAAATAGTATATTTGTTCGATAACTTCGATCACGATACTCCGGTACTTCGCAACCGCCTTCTCGTGTGCATCGTAGCATCACTCAGGTCACGTTATCGGAGGTGTATGAAGGCTCTACTAAAAAAAAAAAACCTATCGTTGAGACAAATATGATAATATAATACATTCGTGGGGAAAGGGATGGATGTAAATATTTCTTAGGCTAGGTGGCGCTAGCTACTGCCCAATACCATCCATCCAAGTTCGTTCGTCGAAGCTACTTACTACACGAGATGACAATAGAAAATAGAGCGGGCAAGCAGGCAAGCAAGCAGGCCAACAAACGGCTAAAAAAAAAAAAACACCATTCACTTTTTCTTTATTTTAAATCGCAGTTCGAACAAATTGTGGGCAGAACGCGTCTCTGGTCCAAACAAGGCGGGGGAACGCACAAAGGTGCCGGAATGGCTTCTTCCAAGTTGGCGGCTTTCCTTTCAAGTTAGCGCGCCGCGGACTGCACACACACACAAACTCCAGAGAGAGAAAAAAGGAACCACCATTAACCAACCTTGAAAGCGGAATACCGACACGCTTGAGATAACGAGATGGGTGGGAGAGAGAGAGAGAGAGAGAGAGAAAGGCAACACGTGCAGGAACGCGATTTTCCTCGAGTCTTCCTGCCGGCGATGGGGAAACAAGTCATACACAAAAGAACAATAGACAGGTAGTCTGGCAACAAACACCCTTCCCCTTCTCTCTCCCCCGCCCATCCCAATCTCCTGCTTCAACGCTGGTAAGATTCTTCCTGGTTCACCTGCCAAGTTACACATTCAATCACTCTCCCCCCTTACACACACACACGCGCGCGCGCACACATACATACACACGCACATACGCACACACGTACATACGCACATACAAAAGCATGCAAGCTCACTTGACCTTGCAGTTGAAAGAGTCAGTGTTGTTTTGCTGTCCTTCCCGCCGTAAAAATTTTCCCCGAAAATTCCACTCGTCGCGCTTTCGGGTTTGGGGAAGCAGGCAAGGTAGGAGTCGTCCTCGGAAAAAAGTGTTTAGCTCGTCGCCCTTCCCTGCCTGCCTGCCTGCCCCCTGCCCCCCTGCCCCCCCCCCCCCCCCCCCCCCCTTTACTAGCTTCTGTCATTTGATCGGAGAATTCGGATCTAGTTTGTGTCCCGCCCGCGGCCTCCACTTGCAGTAGTATTATGTTTTGTTCATTTTCTGTTCATCTATAAGGCCTTCTCGATCGACGGCAGCGAACGGGGGCTCCCACTCCTTGTCAATCGGTGCGTAAGGTCCGGCAAGACAAACACGCGGCGCTACAACGCAAAACCCGACAACAAAAAAAAAAGGTGCACACCAACTCGTCGTTCACGAGCAGGTGAACATTGCGCACACGCACGGGAACGCGCCGTTTCGATCTGGATGAGCATCGTACCGGCGTGCGGTCGTGGATCACTACTGAGTGGTGCACGTTAAAGACCCCAGGCTAGCGGTTGTACCGCACTGGCTAAATTGTTCATCTACAGTGGGTAACAATGTCGCCATGTTCTGGCAGACTAAACTCCTGCTGTATAAACAACTAAAGACTAATTTGTTTGTTTTCACGTCACACGAGTAGGTGCACGTGTTGGCGCAACGGCCGTCGGCTGGAACTCGCGTAGCACCCGTACGCAGCAAAAAAATGCGGTACACGGAAGTCAGGAAAAGAAGACTGGCGAACGCAGTCACTGCAAACAACGGACGCTCGACCGCTGAACCGAACAAACGAGTCTCTTACATTCCGACGTGAAATCGCCCTCTCCCCGTGGAATAGGAAATAATAAGACACGATTCAATCCCCAGGCGGCAGCGGCGTGCATTTTCGCAGTGACACATTGTGATACGTTCGTTCGTACACGTAGTACAACGCACGCGCTCATTCCCCGCGCTCGCGCAAGGAACGAGCAGAAGCAATAACGGGTTTGGGGTGTAGCCGCGCGAAACGCTCGAGCGTGGCACGACGTAGAATAAACGAGGACCCGACAAAGATGAAAGAAATAACGCGCCGTAAACGCAGGAACAGAGATAATACACGCGGACGGAAACGAGTTTGTCTTCGGTACATCCCGCCCCTGAAAAAAACTGTCCTGGTTCCTCCGAACCGTCTCATTGTGTTTTCCCTCGTCTCGTGAGAACCAAATTCCCCCAAAAATGTGTATGTGATTCCTCCATTTCTTCGTCTATATTTCGTGTTTGTTTTGTTTTCGTTTTGTGAGCGCATCTGCTCTTGGCGTCCTCAAGAAACCGCTCCTCTTCCATATATTTTTTTCACCTATATGCTCGCTTCCTTGTCTGTGCCTGTGTCTGTATCTGCTTGTGAATGTTTGAGAGAGCAAGAGAGTGAAAGAGAGAGAGAGTGAAAAAGGGAGGGGCCACTACAGCTTTCGACCATATCCGCATTTTGAATTTGCGAGCGCATCCGCCATCTGACTGATCCGCTCGACGTTTGCGTCGTTTACGGAAACGTTGCGAAGTCGTGCCGGACGTTTTCCCTTTCGCGAGACGTCACCGTGGGGTTTGGACCGCCGTCGCGCCGCGAACGGGAAAAGGCGCATTCTACAGAAACGTAACCGCCGCCTTTCTCCCCAATCGTCAGACCCCGGCGATCCTCCCGTTTTCTGGAGTCGCAGTCGCGCTGCCCATTAGGAAGTTTTCGTAGATCGTTTTCGCCGTCCCTCAAGGCCCTCCGCAACCCGCTACGATAGCGGAAACTCCACAGTCAAGGTTATCGGCGCGCAGGCGCAGTAGCAACTTCTTCGTTGCGGAACGCTTAGCGGAGGGGGCAACGCGGTCTACGAAAACACTCTATTGTGTTTGGCTGCGGACAAGATGACGGAATCGTCCGCGCCTCGGGCACGCTTCGAAGCGCGTTTACTTCGTCCATACGCACGCCTCGAACAGGTTCTGCAGACGGTAGGGAGTTTTAGGGAACCGCTTTTGCGCATGCGCAGTTCGTACCGGAGGGCCTATCGTACCGTATCGGATGTGCGAAAACGGTTCCCTAAAACTCCCTAGTAGGGAGTCTTAGGGAACCGCTTTTGCGCATGCGCAGTTCGTACCGGAGGGCCTATCGTACCGTATCGGATGTGCAAAAACGGTTCCCTAAAACTCCCTAGCAGGGAGTCTTAGGGAACCGTTTCCCTAACACATCCTATTATGAAGTCTTTGTGACCCGGATCCCTAAAACTCCCTGGTAGGGAGACTTAGGGGAACCGGTTCCCTAACACTCTCTAGTGTGAAGGACGCCTCAGACACTGTCCGCAGACGGTCTTTTGTGCGATGCATTAGCTGTGAGACGGCGGCTCGGGAGCTTCCGCGGCATTCAGAAAACAATACAGTGGCGCAAACGAACCGAAAAGGGGGGAAAAAAATAAAAAAAAAGGAGGCCGACAAAAGATTGGGGAAAACCGGGAAGCGAGAAGAAAAAGGAGTATTTCCGAAGAGACTACACAACAAGAAAGTAATCGATCTGGTAAGGAGGAGAAGAAGGAGGAGGAAGACCCTCTCCGCTGCCGTCGCTGTTTTTTTCCTCCTTTCCAGCCGCTCGTATTTGGGGATTTGGGCGCTCCGTTGCCACGGCAACCGCTGCTCCCCCCCTCCCCTTTTATCCCCCGGACGTCCCCCGTGACGTCACCGAAAGGGTCACGTGGCACTCCGTCTCGCAGAGCGGCGGCGAGACAGGCCGCCGACGGCGACGTTTCCCTTTCTCTCGGGCATCGCCCCCTCTCGACTGCCCCTCTTTCCTCTTCCTCCCTCTCCAGGGGAAGCTCCTCCCACCTCTTTCCACCTTAACAGAGCGAACGCTGGAGAGGAGGTCGCCTTCTCTCCCGCGCTTTCTCTCTGTGAAAGTGGAAAGAGGTGGGATGAGGACTTCCCGGTTCGTCCGTTCGCCGAAAGATGGCGCTCGCGTAGCGGCGTCTTGGGGCAGCTGCTTGGAAGGGGAAAGGGGGCAACTTCAAAAAATATTTTTGTTTTAAATTTAAATTTTGGGAGATCGGCGACCCAGGCGTGGTTTCTACTCGAACAGGACCGCGTCAGGATGACGCTCGACACTTTGCAGCAGCCGAGAGAGCAGAATGGGCAGCCCACATCCGATGTAAATCAAACTCAACCTGATGCGACGTGAGCCAACACTTCCTTGATAACAGGGCCGTAGTGCCGAATTTTCGGCGCCACCTAAGGAAGGCTAACGCGGGGCCAAGACTGCACCCCCAGTGCTGGAGAACTCTACAGTCAAGGCCATCGGCGCGCAGGCGCAGTAAGCGGCTTCTTTGTTGCGGAGGGCTTAGCGGAAGGGGGAAACGCGATATACGAAAACTCCCGTAGATCATCGGAACAGCCTAAAACTGTAGTGATGAACAGAACAGCGCACACAAAGACAAGGACAGAGAAAAGGAACATGCAGGACACACGAGCGCTCGTGTGTCCTGCATGTTCCTTTTCTCTGTCCTTGTCTTTGTGTGCGCTGTTCTGTTCATCATGTCATCATACCAACTCGCCCAACTTACTACACTTCTGTAAAACTGTAGTCTCGCCGGAGGACGCCTTGACTCGGGTGGAGGACACTTTGTCCCGTGGGCACTTTCAAACCCGTGTCACGTGACCCGTTGAGCGCTTTGTCTCGCTGGACAGCTTTTTGCCCGGGAGCGGGCAGGCCAAACAAGAACGGGGGTGTGCGTGGCTCACCTTGGAGAGCTTCTCGCCGTCGTGATGCGGCAGAAGCGTGCGTAAAGACTGGAAGCCGGCGTTGATGCTCTGCATCCGCCGTCGCTCGTTGCTGTTGGCGATCTCGCGCCGGATCCGCTTCTCTTGCTCCATCTGGGTCTTGGGGCTCGTCGGACGGTTGCTCAGTCGACTGCACCACCGGACATGCGTGCGAAGACAAGAGAAAGACGTCGTCAGGGCCCGCAAAATCGCCAAGGACGACGAACAGGCGCTAACTTGATCGAACAACGCAAACCACGCCTCATCAAAACCAGCATTTTTTTTTTCTCTTGCGCTTTTGTATCACGTTGTTCACACGAGTTCTCCGAACGAGGTTAGCAATCAGTTCTCGTTAACAGGGACACCTCCACTCCCTCGAAAAATCGTCCATAACGTTAGGTATGGGTTAGTTTCCGAAAAAATAAAAAAAAAGTATATAATGCAATATTTATTTTTAATCATTTACGGCGACGATATTGGGCACGACTTGAGGGTAACTGACCTGTGGTTGTCTACACGGTCGTACGATACATTTCATTAGAGGCGGAAACGTATGCCCAAAAGTACGTCGTTGAGTGCTGCGAGCAACAACCTACGAGGACAGTTGTAAACCCAGACTGGGGGATACGGACAAAGGCCGAAAACACAGAACGACACGGACGAAGTCGGCGAGTTAGGACGGCCCTCCGGAACCCCCACGTGCTCTCGCAGCCCTCGCGTGGGCTGCAGCGCTGTGCGAGAAGGGCTGTAGGATCCCCGTGTTTTCTGAGTTAATCTTTCGTGAAATTCGAAGGGTGTTTTTCGGGGTTTTTTTTCCCCTCAAAGTGGGAGTTTGTCGTAATTTAGTTTTGTTTGATTCCCGATTCTCCGAAATTGAGAGTTGAATTTTGCCCTGTTTCCGATTAAAAAATAATAATAACATCCAAGTGCAAACGTATGCTAGATAGATAAAAATGAAACGCTTCTCGTATTAATTAATATTTCTTCGGCTGGATTTGACGTTGGTCCCATCGCCATTGGCGATACTAACTCGTCCGACGACAAACGTTGCGCACGTGTGTTGCTTCGATAAACGTCGATACCTTAATATCAACAAACGTCCAGGCGCAGTGGTCGCCGGGAAGCTCGTATTTATTCCATCCTGGTCCATCAACCCACCCCGCGGCCGCGCGAGGTGGAATGGTAAAGGATGCATATTAGAGAAGTTTCAACTTCCCCTCTTCCCCATTTTATGTAACCTGTATGGTTCATAGCTTTCACTGATACAAAGAACGCAACCTCTCCTTCCTCCAAAAGCACTCATAATATGGGCCCACAACTGGAAACCAAGACAGCGGCTTTTGCCATGACCCGAAAGTACGAATGACCTTGTCCCGAACGTACCTTGACGAGACGAGTCCTCATACCCCTTCTGACAGTGGTTCGAGACTCGAAAGACAACTGTGCTGGCATCATCGCAGGACCATACTGACCCTGTGCGCGGATCAAACTCAATGGACCTTTTTCCAGTAAGGAGTGCCTCATGACGGTTTCGCCGCCAACTACAAATGGAGGGCAACCGGACTCGCCTTCTCCCATAGGAACAGATTAGTGTCGCAAGAAAACAGTGCCCCCCAAGAATGGCGAAAGGGCGGTCAAGATCAAGGGAAAGGGGTGTGCGCGTGCGCAGACGCTTACTGGAAAAAGACGCCGTAGCCGATCGTCCGAAGCTTTACCTGAAATGGCGGGAAACACATTTTTTGTTTCCGGTTCCAGAAACGTTAAAAACAGTCCCGCCCGAGCTTGCCGACGCCGTTGTCTGAAGCTCGAGAGCAATCGCATCTCCTGATCGCACACTATCGCCTATTGCTACCCCCCGCTTCTGCATTACGTGCACCACAATGGCGGCACCCAGAGGACAATCGGGAAGTTGTAGCTCATTCGACGGTTCCATAGGGAAAGCTATTCTGCGAGACGCGTGCAAAAGCGAAACAATATTTACAGCATGGGCAGGAGCCACGGCTGGCCGGACAGCAGAGCTCCAAGCATCATCTTCTTGGGTCCTTCCTCGGTTTCCAAAAAACAACCGCGCGGCTGGTCCTCTACTTTCAAACTTCGCACTGCGGGATCCTACCTTGCTCCCCGCCGTTTTTTCCGGTTTGTTTCACCCAGGGCGTTCTCTCACTTCCCCCAAACAAACAAACAAAAACACACACACACACATACATAGAAAAAAAAAAAGGAAAGTTTTTTCGTCAACCACGACGATGTCTCCGAACGGGCGTGGGGACTAAAAAGGAAAATAAATTCCAAAAAGGGAAGCCAATTTCAGGAGGCCTCAAGTCGGCGGCGGCTTTCTGCCAAAGAGCGCGTCCGCCCCTACGCCCGCGGCGAGCAAGTGGGACACTGGGCACATTCAGAAATGTGGTTTTCTTTCAACATCTTGTAGACCTTGAGACGTTGGCAAACATGGCGTCCCGACTGATGCCCCCTGCGTGCAAGCAACGACAGGCACGCGCGTGATGGTAGCTTCGATGGGCTTGTAATTGCACGAGCTTGTTCACACTAGTAGGAACATGGAGATGCCTTGTTTGCAATAGGACACTCAGTTTATAATGGATGTGAAAGAGAGGTAACGAAATGCAAGGGCTCCCAGTTGCGAGTACCTACGCACGAACGGGCTGATTACTAACAACTAACAGGAAGAAGGGGGAGGGAGGCCCAGAAACTGGGAGTCCATGATGAATTTTATAGACCCTTTTCTTCGCAAACGCCACCAGCCGGTTTTGAACAAAGGCCCCCTAACAATGCTGCTTGATATGTCGATGAAACATTTGACCACAAATTCTCCAGGTGAACGCCAAAAGAACCAAGAAGCGCGAAATCAGCTCAAAGTTTTCGAATATTCTCGTAAACCAAGTTGTCTCCTCCGAGACGTTAAATCGCAAAATCAACGGCCCTCGCAAAATCTTCAACCTTGTTTCCCGTGTAGCACTCATGCATTCTAGGAGAGGTGACATAAGCAAGCTCCACAGGCTTGCAAAGACGGAGCGACCGGAGGTCGGTCAAGACGCAAGCGAATCACACAACGTGGTTTCGTCGATGAAAGATCAAAAGACACACGCTTCAGCGTTTACTTTTAACGCTAAGGACGGAGGCCGCACCGGAAACGACCACCAAATCGAGTTTGTGAATTCGTTAGGATTGAATACAGGTATTGAGGTTTGTGGGACCAAGGCAAAAAAAGAGCGGAGTTGAAGCGGGTTCGTCGAGGCTCCTGGCGCAAAACGAGCAGAAAATATGCACGCAGGTTGACCTTGGCTGATTGTTGAAAGGCAACCATGTGGGGGCGGAATGTTTCTCACGTTAGACAAGCTTGCCGACCTCCTCTCCAGCGTTCGCTCTGCTAAAGTGGAAAGGGGTTCCACTTTTTAAGCTGTCACCAACTCCAGCGTGACCCAAGAGCACTCGAACGCAACGACGCCGAGCAAATAAGCGTCATTGTCGCGGCGCAATTGAAAGCGAACTTCTTGTTCTTTCAGTCTCTCCTTCGCAAAACTCGATGACAGTCATAGGGATCGCGGTGTTGACGTAGCCACGGGAATTCGCGGCTGGATGGATGGATGGATGAATCCGGCTGAGCTCTTTGGATCGGGCGGTAGCTTACGCCACCTAGCAGGCTCCGGCAAGAAAACGGACGGCACCTAGCGGGAAAACACTGAACTGGCTGGAACGGGTCTCTTCGCAGTTCCCACTCGATTCTTGTGGCTTCCGCGATCACGCGATGAAAGAGGCGCGTGTTCTGTCCACAGAGACGAAAACGGAAGGCCGCACGGAAAACCTAACAAATGAGGTGCGCCTTCTTTCATTGCCTTCCACGTTCTCAAGGGTGAGCAGTGGTCCCGGTGACTCTGTGATTGGTGAATACTCCCGAGTATTCACTGGCGGCCATAGCTGCGTCCTCGACTGCTGCGCGCGTGCAGACGGCGGGCTTCCACAGCTATTATTCCGCACCATCGAATCTGCCGGCATTAGCGGCCTATTAAGTGAGCTCGTTTTTGAGCATGCGCTCTAAACTGCGCCCTCAAATATGGCGTCCAATGAATACCCCCTATTCAAATGCGGCGTATAGGTTGGACACAAGCACGGAGTGAGCACCCGATTTGGGCTCGTGACAATCAATAGCTCGAAGAGCATTCGAGTACGTGTCAAATAGACATGCTCGATCCAATGAGCGGGACTCCAAGCAACACATTAAAAATAAACAAAAGAGAAGAAATCGTATGTATTTTGAACACAACACTTTCTATCGGTGATGACGTCCTTAATCTGAACCAATAGAGAACCGAAACGACAAGAGCGTACAACAACCATGCGCGGTCTTCCTAATTGTTGCAATTAACATCCCGTTATGAAGCGTGGACGCCCGACCGATCTACGGAAGTTTCAAGCAAAGAGTCACGTGCTTCAAAGGATCAGCCAGTCCTAACACTTTAATACTACGTCGTCATTATTCGACGCTCTAGAGTCTAGAGCGTCCAGTGACGACATTGGTCTAGAGTCTAGACCAATGTCGTCACTGGACGTTCGTGTTCGACACCGATAGGCACGCCCTTCGAAGCGGCAATTGGCCTCCTTCGTCCCCTTTCCAGTGCCCCTTTATGGTGTTTTCACACGACGGAGGTTTCTTCCAGAGAGAAGAGTAAACGTCATCTTGCTTCGAGGTCACGTGCGCGACATCACGATTGCTTGCTATACTTTAAAGGGATACTGAACCAAGGAATTTGGTGTCCATAATAAGTGGCGCACGTTCTTTCCACGAGCCAGCAGCCGCCGGTGTGCGCGAGCACAGGCAACAAAAATGACGTCACAGACCTCCATTCGTGGTTGAGATGACAGTGAAATGTATGGGCTTCGGACCAAAGGAGAATAAAGACAAGTTTTTCATCTACACAGTGGTGCCTGGTGTAAAAAGTAAGCGACGAATTGGTCTAACAAGCACGTAGCTTTCACTTGTAGAGATGAAAAGCCTGTCTTTATTCTCCTTTAGTCCGAAGCCCATGCATTTCATTGTCCTCTCAACCGCGAATGGAGGTCTGTGACGTCATTTTTGTTACGTGTGCTCGCGTACACCGGCGGCTGCTGGCTGGTGGAAAGAACGTGAGCCACTTA